GGTTTCAGTGGGAATTAAATTTCAAGAATTTGGGAGTGCTCAAAAACATTTAAACAGTAAAAACTAGGCTAAGAGAATGTTATAATTTGTGGACCATATGCTTTCCAGAGATTTTGGATGTTCTGCGAGGGTAGAAAAGACACCTGATCTTAGTTCCTGGTACACAATTACTAAAATCTCAGGATTTCCTCTTTTACCATTCATAATCAATGTTCAAAGTGTACAATAAGGCACTTACTGGCCATGGGGTCTGCTCCTGGAGACAGCACAAAGATTAAGGGGATGGTACAGTTGGAATCCAGGTAACTCTTCGCCAAATCGAATGGTGGAGGCTCCACAAACTTTTTCCCTAGTTTGTCGGTTACATAATTTGTTATAGCTGGAGTTATCTGATGTAGAAAAACAATATGCTCTTTGCAATACTTTTCATTTCATACAACAGCTTTCATTATTATTATTTTTGTTTTTGTTTTTTGGTCTGTGATACCGGGGATTGAACTCAGGACCCTGCACTTGCCAGGCAAGTGCTTATTCTACTGAGTTATCTCCCTGGCTCTTGCTTTGATTCTTATTGAAAAACAACAAATAATATAATTTTAATCTACTGGACAAGAAAAACACACATTTCCTTTTTATCTAGAAAGTATCTTTAAATTGTTAGGACAAGGATTAAATGAAAAATGGGCAGAGGAGATGAAGCACTTAGAAAAAGAGATACAAATGGATCTTAAGCATAAGAAAAACTCACATTCAGTATAGCAGAGACCACAAACTATTACTTTTGCTTCTGCTTGGTAATAGAACCCCAAGGTTTTTCCATTTCTTCCAGTTAAATCACCATGTGACTAAATTCTGACCAGAGGAATACCAGCAGAAATCACATACGGAGCTTCCAGATCGTGTTCTCTAAGAAGCTGTTTGCTTCCAGCACTTTCCTTCATCCTCAGGTGTGGTGTGCGTGAGTGAGCTCAGTCTTGCTGTTGGGGGCACGTGCTAAGGGGCTTTCCTAGCAAGCATCTGAGTTTCTGAGTGATCTCAGGAGCTAAGTGGCCCTGCCAGCCCTTGATTGTTTGCCTTTGGGCTGTTAGGAGAGACATTAACTTTTATTTTATTGAAGTGACCATATTTTAGGTCTCATTTTACAGCAGCTTTGTTTGTTTTGGTTTTTTGTCTTTTTGAGACAAGGTCTTATTATGGAGTTCAGGTCCTGAGCTCACTTTGTAGCCCAGGCTGGTCTTGAACTCACAACAATCTTTCTGCCTCAGCCTCCTGAATGCTGGGAGTGTGATGACTACCCTTATATTTATAAGAAAAACTTAAATTATAACTTCATTTAGATGCAGTTTTTCACTTATCAGAATACTGTATACATGAGCCATGAGCCAAAGATGACCCATATTATGGTTCACATATGAAATGTCCTCCGATAGCTCTTGTGCTGAAGGCTTGGTCTCCAACACAGCAGTGTTCAGAGATAGGGCCTCTGGGAATTGACCTCATCATGAGAGCTCTAACCACCCATGAATAGGTTCACAGCTTAATGGGTTACCAGAAAAAGGCAGAAGTTTTAGGAGATAGCTCCTAGCTGAAAGAATTGGGCCTTGGGGTGTGCCTTTGAAGGTACATTGTGTCCCAGTCCCCTTTGCTTCTAGTTACTGTGAAGAGAGTAGCTGTGCTCCACCACACCCTCCGCACCATAATGTTCGACCTTGTCCCAACCCCACAGCAATGGGGCCAAGTGATCATGGACTAAGATCTCTGACACCATGAGCCCAAAGAAACAATTCCTCCACGTAGCCTGCATACTCAGATCCCGCTGCAGTGGGAAGCTGACAGACAGCTTGTGAGTCCCGGATGCCCAGGCATTTGGTCAATCAATAGCCTGGTCCTTCCGCCACAGCAACCATTGAAAAAGAGTAGCCATGGCCCTCCGCTATCCCATGGCCGTGGGCCTTAACAAGGGCCACAAGGTGACTAAGAATGTGAGCAAACCGAGGCACAGCCGCCGCCGCGGAC